CCCCAAAACCCCAAAACCCCAAAACCCCTAATTTGTTTGAATAAAAATTTGGAGTAATGGTAATATTTGAGACCTTAACTATAATAATCATTTTATAATATAAAAACAAATTGCCTTTAAATAGATTCTAGTTTAATGGATAAATTCAAAGCCGTACTTAGATCGGTAGATATATATGGCCATTAGGTCAAGCTACTCTATAAAGGAGACGATACAAAGAAGACACTGCCTGGTGCCTTTATGACTGTCATTTCAGTAGGTTTACTGCTTTGGTACTTAGGTTTGTAAATCGAGGACATTATCAACAACAAAAATTAGTTTAAGTAGACACTTATCCAACTAGATCTAGACAATATCGAATTCCCTTTAGGCAAAGATAACTTTGATACTGCTTTGATGGTTGTACCTCCTTTTTCTGATTAGATACAAAACAAGACAGAAAATATTTACAGATATATGAACATTTCTGCGATACTTACGATTACGACTGAAAAACTAGACAAAGATGGTGATCTAGATGTTGAAGAGTTTGATTTGGAATTATTTAAATGCTCCAGAAATAGATTATTTGATAGCACTAGATTCAAGGTGCTTACTGATGCATATTAAAATGTTGATGCTCTTTGTTTTAAGCAATTTGAAATGCTTAAATTAAAATCAGACAACAATAGACTTTCCTATAAAATTACTGGTTGTGATCAAAACTATTTGTCTAAAAAATATCCAGGGTCAACTTGTGAGAAAAATAAAACAAAGGAATTATAGACACTAGCTGATACTATGGTTATTGTCTTCTCTTCTTCTAACTATCTTGATCCTGAAGAGTTTAATAAAAGTCCCATTAAAGTTAATACAGTTCAAAATGCTTTTAGATTCTCTTAATACTTTGAGAAAGTAATCAATTTTGAAATTGGATTCAATAAAGCAGAAATACATGACTCTAAGCTGCATGAAAATATTGGATCATATGAAACAGATTTTATTTCTACAAAATTTGTAAGTTAAGGTACCAATGATAAGAACGCTATTAATCCAACTCACTTTACTATATAGTAATCATTACATACTTCTTATCTATCAAAATTTTAGATTCTATATAACGACTGAGTCAAATTCTTTTGAAAGATAAGCAAACAACCTAGTAGGAGCTTTATCAAATACAGGAGGTCTAGCTGGCATAGTTTTTGGTGTAATTGCTTTTATCATAGCACCTCTCCAAGAATTTTTCTACTATCAGAGTCTGTTAAAAAAGAATTTCTTAGTGGAAGAAGATTAAGTTAATAAGAAGAATAAATCAGGTTACTAACTAGGGAAACAAAAAACTAATGACTTCATAACTACTAAAGATGATAACGGTCAAAGTGAAAAATCGAAATTTTATCATAAAGATTTTAAAACATATCTGGAATTAGTTAAACGGCTGAGAAATAGAGTACCTTTTAGATATGAATTCAGATATGCAGCATTTTATTGGATTAAGAAAGTTATTTGCTGTAGTAAAAGTGATAAGTTGCAAGCTGAATTATTTGACTACGGAAAAGAAGTGATAGATAAGCAATTTGATATTGCAACTATTTTGAGAGATTTAAGAGCTTTCAAGATGACTAATAGACTTTTGCTGTCTAAGTACCAAAGACATCTGATACCATTCTTTAAAAAGCACTTGCTGAATTAAATGTATGAAAAAAATAAAATCAAAGAAGAAAAGATTGCTTAAACTTAGAAGGTTAATCATAATTAGAAGTTGCTTAATTAGGTAACCTAGCTTATGATTGAACTATTTTCTGATAATAGAAATCCTTCTAATTCATACAATGAAGTAGTTTTGGATAGCTTATTTCTGTAGAATAGCGAAAGTGTGAATAAAGATTTAAAGTCTTAATTATATTCAGCAATACTCAGATATTTTATTCAGAAAAATTTAGAATAACCTGAAATAATAAATTCACCTAGTAAAGCCAACGGAATAGATGTAAATGACATTAAGTTCACAAACAATTTTGGAAAATCTTAAGTAACTGATGAGTAGTAATAATAAAATAAAAACAGTCCATTTGTGAGTCGCTTTGATAGTGCTTCAAATGATGATGAAAACTAAAAAACACCTTAGCATAAAAACAGCCATTAAGAACCTGAAAGTGAAAACAGTTAATTGATTAATGAAATAGACGAGCAAGCAGACATTTAGAATTTCAGACATTAGAAAGAAACAAATAAAAAAATTTAAAGCTTTTGAAAGAAATTTTAATGCTATTTTATTCATTTCATTATTTTTAGATTCGCCAAATAATAATTTAAATTTTATGTCTGGTGGGGTTTTGGGGTTTTGGGG